TGTCTCAACTGGGGTTTTTAACCACTGTAACTCTGCCTTCCCATGGTTCAAGAGATGAAATATTAAACAACTCTGTTCATTTATCAGTGAAACCAAGCTAGGAGGATTATCTTGACAAAAATCCAGAATCTTCAACAATTCAAAATCTACCTGCTGTCTGTGCACAACATAATTCTACGGCCTTGAATTGGAATAGAGCTTCGTGGCAATCTTGTCACGGTCATGGACCTCTTCATCAGCTAAAGCCATTACAACAATGGTAGGATCAATGTACCAGGTGTGTCTCTTCATTGAGTCAATAACAGGTTTTGACAGCTTAGATTTGACATCAGAGTACCTTATCATCTTCCACAGTACTTTCATATTCTAAGAAATAACCTTTAGATAGCAAAATACTAAAAAGAATATTTTTTATTTAAGCTTTGCTATTTTTTAAATAATAAGAATATAAAAATTAAAGTAAAAAAAAACCTGAGAGGGAGCAATTGCTGGCATTTCCGCTCTGAGAAAACATTCAGTGTAAAACACTGCAGTGAAGAAAGCCGTATCTTTGATTTCGTTCTTCTCATGGGTTTTGAGTTCGTAAATGATATTCATTAAAAGGAACATCTTAATAAAGTATATTCCTTCTATCAAAAACCGAGCATGACTTACAGGTCCTGGTTTTCGGAGTCTGTACTGCACATCACCAGATAGTACCATTACTGTGAGTTCGTCTAACTCAAGAAAATCACACCTGCATCTATTCTAAACATAAATACTTATTTTTATAATAAGCAATTAATCAAAATTGAATGTTTACATTGTGTTTTGACTTTTTGCAACATTTAAAAATTGCGTTTTGACTTTTTGCAACATTTGATATCTGATATTAATCATTTGTTTATTGTGCAAAGCGTCAGGAGCTATGGACATTAAATAAGTTATTATTATTCTAAGCTGCGATTTACGGGATAAGAGACTTTTATTTATTTGAAAGCTGTTTAAACTACTTTAAACAACATTAAAATTAGTTTGATAATTTAAAGTACTGACCTTTTTCATCTTTTCCATCTTTATAACGTTTTCGGATAACTCCAGGCTGAAATTTAAATCTTTGTTTAAAGAAATTACAGAGCTACGCATACCTCTAAAGGTCAGAGACAAGTCTGGTAGGCCAAGAATTGAACAAAATTAGCTTCTACTACTTGAAACTATTGTGGACATTGCTATGCATAAATCTGCATCTCATAAAAACCAAATAGTGATGTATATAAAAGCATCAAACGTTAGAACAGTTGAAAATGGATCGCTTCACAATCAGTAGAAGTGGGCTTTGCATTCGTCTTTTACTAAAGCGCAGTGCATCTCTTAAAAGCCAGCGTCATGTATCAACAGTGCCAGTAAAGTTAAATAGATCACAGAATATCAGTACGCTAAACATATTGAAGGTTTTTTTTATACTACTACAATAAAGCACTTGGAAGAGTTAGCGTCCATGCTAGGAACAAACGAAGCATGTTTTTTGAGTCAAGGCGATAAAGCATTTTGTGTTTCACTTGGGTTGACTCCTGACAAAAAGCAAGGTTCACTAATGATGCACGTCGAGTACAAAATCAGCTTCTGATCATAATTAGATAGTGGCTGCCGGACACAAATTAATTCCATTGGTGTATGCTAGAATTTCAATTCAGCCTAATGGTCTTGGAAACCGAGAAGCTGTATAATATTTCGGACCAACCTATATAGCAATCGGATCAAAAAAATACAAAATTAACAGCATTCAGCCATGAACCTAATTTTCAAAGATTTTTTACACTCAAGGAGTTTGACATCATTACCAGAAGTGGTATTGATTGATTGGTTAAACCAATATTAGTTTTAACAGTCGATGTTGGCCCTGACATGAACCCAAGATACCAAAAAGTAATAAAGGTTGGAGTACAATACTTTATCCAGCATGATTTTGATTCTTTATTTCTTGCTACAAACGCTCCTAGAAGAAGTGCATTTATAAGAGTGAAAAGAAATATGGTATTAACTAGTAAGGAACTTGCTGGATTGTTATTACCACATGACCACTTAGTAGCCATCTGAACGAGAGTGGTATTACAATCGATGACAATTTAGAGAAGACAAATTTTACGTTTGCAGGAACCACTCCCTAAGATATTTGATCAGGCTTGATTGTCAATAATTTTTGAACTGTGGCAAAGTACATCGAGCCCACAGAGTCTGAGTAACAAGAACAACACTTTTTGTTAAGGGATCAGAAATGGTATCATAGTTACATACGAACCAGCCAATATCTTATGCAAATAGTAAAATGAAATGGCAATAAGTGCTGTTTAAAACCAAGAAGTGATAATAAACAGATTTTTTTCTTCTCCGTTAACAATTGCTCAAAAAAGCAAAGGTTTTAAAATTCCAGAACGAACAACGGACCAAACATGTTATTAATTTTTATCTCTGTTTGCGGCACAAAGTTTAAAAGTTGACAACATCCTTCCCCGCTCTGCAAATTGGTATCAATTAATTCCATACGACTTGCACGACTTTGTCCATCAAAGTAAAAAAAAATGTCACCAGTACTTTGCGTCAATAGTTATGCTGCGTAGTCATAGTGTAACACACATCTAAAAATCAACTGTTCCATCTGTAAGAATTAATCCTCAGAGAGTCATTGCATCGACAACAAGAAATAATGGTTCTAATCGCTAATAAGCAATTATTTTCCCATTGTAATGTGGAAAATGGTAGAAATGTCTAATAGATTGATAAAAAGGATCTTGATCTAAATGGAATAACGTATCCCCAGGATACTGGTGTCAACGCGCTACCAGTTTACTCTATAAAGGAACATTTTTATTTCCAATGAAAAAATAATTTTTGCTCATTTTTTAATTCCAGCAATGTTTCAAGTTTTATTTCTTATAATTGGTTCAAATAAGCGTCAATTCCTATAAAATATTCAAGTTTGTAATAAATATTTAAAATTTTATTTAATTGTAAAAATCATTTTAAAGTTCATTTTATAAAGTATCTGCGAGATAGTAGTTACTTTATAGTAGCAATATAAAAAAGTTTCTATTGCTATTTTATTTAACCATAATAAACTACAATTGAACATTTTAAAAATGTTATATCATTATGATTAAAAAATGCAATTTTATAGATCACTAATGAATAATTCATAATAATTAAGATAATACCCAGTCAACCATTCTAACTGTCCCATCTGGGATAAGTCTGGGTTTTTGACGGGAAATCCCATATTGAACCCAGATATTTTTTTCATTTACCGCGGGTTTTCTCAACTTTTTATAGATTGTTTTTTCGCAGATTTTTTGTATCTCGAACCTGAGAAATAATGTGACAATTTTTTGATTAAAAAGCGTCGCATTTTTTATATAAAAATAAAAAGTAAAGGTTATTTATATTATCTATATTGAATTCACTATCGAAGCAATAAAGTGTATTAGGCAAATGAATATTTGGTCTGACATAATTTTACGAATCAATTGAAAAACAGATTTGAATTTCATAATATTTTTAAGCAACAAAAAACTAATATTATACAATGATTTGATGCAAAACTGTTCTACATAGTAATATTCTGCCACAGTAGTTCTCTCATATCGCCACCATAATCGCATGACAAAATTATGCTTTAAAGTTTATCGTTATCGTTTTCTTTAGTGCTTTCACCCACTTTTACACAAATTTTATAAATTAAAAATAAACATTTGAATAATTATTTGTTACAATTTAAACATATTGAAATAAATTAAAAACAAATGTAATTTTTACCACAACAAATTTTGTAATAAAATTATTTTCACAATGAAAATTTACAATAATAAACAAGTGTGGAGTACTTATATTATTATATATAATAGTTATATTCATGATTAGTCTAACATAACGTATTTCAATTATCGTGGACCAGAATTTATTGTTTAATTTCATGTTGTTTTAGAGCTACATTTTGCGAGTATATATTAAACTTATTTCACAGTAGATTCTAAAAAATATAACACCCTAACAATTTGGTTTAAAAAATCATTATACATAGATAACTTTTAAACTTTACTACATTGTGACAATGGCAGCATGTATTGATGACAATACATGCTGCCATTAAACTATTAAAAAATTGGCTATTGAAATCATATTGCATGAATAACATACATGCTTTACCATATATAAATATTATTTCTAGTACATATTATTCTACTAATCAACAGATTAATGAAAACAAAAATAAAAACAAACTACCGTTGAGGTATCAAATGAAGTTTATGTGAAAAATCCTTTAAATGTATATTTATTCCAAATCATGTCACACTACTGTATATGCACGGTTTGTAAATTTGGGACCCTAATATCAATGAAATACCCTATGAAAACCCTTTTAAGGGGGGATAGTACATAACAATGGATGGCCATACAGAGTGATTTTGAAATCCTGCATTAACATCCAATGGAGATTTTTTACCTTGAAGTTTTGAAGAAAATAAGAATTTTAAGCAACATTTGGCAGCCTATTTGTAGTACAAAAATACATTTCTGATTTTTTATCATAAAACAAAAAATGTTAAAAACATTTGTTAAGGGATCAGAAATGGTATCATAGTTACATACGAACCAGCCAATATCTTATGCAAATAGTAAAATGAAATGGCAATAAGTGCTGTTTAAAACCAAGAAGTGATAATAAACAGATTTTTTTCTTCTCCGTTAACAATTGCTCAAAAAAGCAAAGGTCTTAAAATTCCAGAACGAACAACGGACCAAACATGTTATTAATTTTTATCTCTGTTTGCGGCACAAAGTTTAAAAGTTGACAACATCCTTCCCCGCTCTGCAAATTGGTATCAATTAATTCCATACGACTTGCACGACTTTGTCCATCAAAGTAAAAAAAAATGTCACCAGTACTTTGCGTCAATAGTTATGCTGCGTAGTCATAGTGTAACACACATCTAAAAATCAAAAAAGTTAAAAACATTATTTGGGAGCTTTTTTATTTTATTCATTTATTTTCTTAATGATCGCATTTAGAAGATAAACAACAATTTCTATAATTCCATTAAAAATTATAATGCTCTCTAGAGACGAATCATCTGGAACAAAATAAAGGCACTAAAATATCACAAATCTGTTAGGAGTATTCTTAGAATTTTTTTAACACTGTTCTTTAGATCTAGATTTTCTTGCTGTTGTATTCGATCACACACTTCAGGAGTTGGCTGGCATAGTCTGGATGTGAGGAATCTCGTTTGTATCTCTCCCAATGAACTTTGAAATTGGAGTGCAGAGCTTCTGTTGCCTGCTCACTGAAGAGACCCAATCCTGTTTTCTTGATTTTGATGAACTGAGGTACATGGTAAAACACTGCATGTACTTTTGGAGTAACTGAAATGGGTAGGCGGATGTAGCTTTGTTTGAACTTGGAGATCTTCGATTTATAATCAGGATCCAAATTATTGCCAAAGCAAGAAATGACCACATCTTTAAATAGTGCAAGTGTTTGCATGACGTCATGAGCTTGACTAAAATTGTTGTATCCTGTGACCAATTGCAACTTGTCTAAACCTCTCAAGAGCTTCATGCAGTCATTCCCATTGAAATGTCCACCATGGTAGGGCTGAATAGGAATATGAAATGAAGCTGGCCATTTCTCGGCCCCTGGCCAAATTTTGCAAAGATTTTTATACAAATGGTTTACTACTCCAAGTAACAAATGGAGCTCCATTGGAGGGATAGCTTCAAGCACAAGCTTGTGATCAGGAAAATCAACCAATGGTACGTGAATGACATTTTTGAACTCCTTTGATTTTCTTGTATCTCCTCCTGCGTTGATGAATTCAAAATGTTGTCTCCTAATCTCGCCAAAAGTTCGAGGACTTCCACAGTTTTGGAGGTTTAAAGACGAAACATCACACCAACAACATGGGTGTTTGCTGCTATGGGATTGAATGCCACACAGAATATTTGCCAACTTTAGGTCACATGATATGACCAGAGAATCCATCTGACATTTCTCTTGTACTTGGATGAGGTCAAAAATTGCCTTCACATTATGGTAGTTCTCTGGAGTGTTTTGTGCAATTGCTACCAGTAGTTGCTGCTTGACACTTGTTGATTTAGTTGTTTGTGGAGACATCAATTTGATTGTTTTCTGCAGTGGGCTATGTGGCGGTGTCTCACCTTCATCCACAATGATGTGTGTGAAGCTGACTTTTAAAAAAGATCCTCCACCATCAATCCCTAGTTTCAAAATTGCAGAATCTGTCATCTTTCTTGATGCTAAGAAGACATCACTAAGACTACTGAGGTTTTGACAATGCACAACTTGGGATAATTGATTGTTTTCAGCAAGAGTGATGCTGCTCACAGTGAAGAGATCACAAAGTTTTTGGCCTGCTTGAGCGAATTTTTGCTGAAAACTTGGTTCCACCAATCTGATAGGACTGATTTGATTTAGTGCCGATCCAAGTTTTCTCATCCCATTGTTTGAAAGTCCTATATTCTGCTGAATTTGAACCATATTCTGCGTTGTGAGAGGCTCTTTGAAAAGTTGCTGTGCTGATGAAGGTCCTAATTATAAAAATTGCATTTAAAAAATGGTTCATGACCTTCAAAAAATATTAATACTTTCAAAAACTTACTTAATTTAAAAATAAAATTTTCTCTGCAAATATATTTGCAGAGAAAATTTTATTTTTAAAATAAGTTTTTAAAAAATAAATAGATAATATTTATATTTTAATTTAATCATTTAAAGTTCAAAAGCACTATTACCTTTTCTCAATGGCAATAACTTTCCACAAGGTTGACTGAGTCTGATGGTGCCATGAGGAGATGCACTTTTTGATGCCAAAACTGTTGCTGCAACTTGCTCTGCACCAATGGGATCAGAGGCAGCCATTCTTCTCAAATTTTCATGGCGTGTTCCAGGAGTGCAGTAATGAGGAAGCCCACGACCAATAACTGACAAGCACTTAGTACAATGTTTTTCTGCATTTTGCGAAGATTGTTGGGGAAATTTTGGTGCTGAATCTTGAACCTTGCTTAATGGATGCCTTTCTTTTCCCTTGAGTTTGGCAATCTTACAAATCAAGCACTCACAGACTGTAGAAAAACGAGTAAGAGGCTTGATCGAAATTGATTCAAAGTCATAAATCTGAGGCACAACATTTGTTTTACCATCACACAGCTTTCCAATGTGAGATCTGCAGGAGATGCAGGTCGCCAATGGTACTCTGTCATCATTGAAGTTGATTTCTTTCTGAATTTGTTGAAGAATTTTAGCTTTGAAGTTTTCAGTCAATTCTTGATCACCTTTCTTCATACAGATAACACAAACAGATTTTCTACATTCTTCATGGTTTTTGGCAAATGTAGGCATCTTTAAATTCTTAAATATTTGTTCACAAAAAAATATGCTCTCCTTCAAAAACTATCTTAAAGTGTACTGCCTTTTCCCAGAATATATTTGTTTACTCTTTTCGTTAGTTTCGAAAGTTCGATTTTACGCTTGCACTGATCAAAACGCTCAATAAAGAATTATTTCAAAAAAAATGAATAAAATAATAAACATTTTACGTTTCATGGGCTACAATCTTTATTTTATAAAAAAAATTAAGGGAGCAAGTTTAGTACCATTAATAGGCAGCTTAACTTGGCTCATAAATCAACCCTTTTAAAAAACCTTCATGATCAAATAATTCTTTTTGATGTTAATCCCCGATTTCAAAACAACTCAATATAGACTCCAATTGGCATGTACTATCCCCCCTTAAATAGGTTTTCATAGGGTATTTCATTGATATTAGGGTCAAATTTACAAACCGTGTATGTAGTTTTAAAAATGTTTTTTTATCATATATATTCATAAACTTTTAATGAAAATAATGTAAAACACACTATTCTTGATCTAAAAGTGTGCTATCAAAATAACATTCACATTTCCTAGAGATTCACAGTCCATCTTCTGTTCACAGAACTTATCCATTCACAGAAGCCCAGGTCAATATTAGGAAAAACCTGCATATTTTGCAAATTTTATATATTTTTAATATACAGATATTATTTTATCAGGGTTGCCACTATAATTTTTTAAGTTTTTCCCTTAGTATTCCCTGAGTAAAGAACGTTTTTTCCTGAGTTGAACTCTTTAAGTTCCCTGAGTTTTCCCTGATTTTCTATATTTTTTCCTGTTCATCAATGAGATTTTTATTTTCCTTAATTAAACACAATCTTTATATTTGACAAACTAAAACTTTTACAAAAACACCCAAAACTAGCAAACTTATTATTATATGCATTAGCAAAATATTTTTGAAAAAAAAAAATTATTGAACAAAATTTAAAAAAAAAAAGATTTTCCCTGAATTTTATGAAAATTTTAGAAAATCCCTGAGTATTCCATGTTTTCCCTGGGATTCATGCTATTTCCAGGTATTCCAGGTTGAGTGACAACCCTGTTTATTTATTTTATCAAAACTCTGTAAACTAATAGTTTGAGATATTAAAACTCGGAGAAAGTAAAACTTTCCTGAACTTTCTGAAACATAAATATTTAAAATAATGTTGTCAGATTAAGTGTTAACTTACTAGATTTAGATAAACCATTTCATAGGAGAATATATAACTAATGTGTAAAAAACTAACATTTGTTGAAGTAATGCATTTTCTGTTGTTAATCATAAATCAACATAAACAAACTCTAAAAACAAAACATAGATACTATTGAACCTCTTTAACAAATTTAATAAAGTTTTATGAAAATTTAAAATTTAATTAAGTTGTATACAAAAATAACATAGATAAAAAATTTATTACCAAAAAAATTTGATATCTTTTTTATAACTTTGTAAATAAACATATTTGATTTGATTTCTTTAGATATTTCTTCTTCTAGAGTCGATGAGATGACATTCTGGATTACTTTAGTACACTTAGTGTGGTGGAGTTTTAGATGTTCCAGGGGACTCCCTACACCAAACTTAGAAATAATTTCACACAAATGGTAAATAAGAATACTATTAATATGAAGATATATTATTCATTTAGTAGAAATCCCAGTACTTTTGTGTCTCTTGAATATAATAAATTTCTCTGTTCTTGTTAACTTTTTGCGGGGTTTGAATTTTTTCTATAATGTCACTTATTGGACACAGATTCAAATCCTCTTTTTCAGGCCATTTCCAGTTTTTAAGTGATTTTTGCATTGATTTCAGTAATATACCTTCTTTAGATATTGATTCTACCTTTCCGACAAAATAGGAACCTTCATATAAAAATATAACATAGTCTCCAATAATGTAATTTTCTCTATTAACATGTTCAAACTGTAGGTTCTCATCATCGTTGTTATTGTCGGAGGCACCTTCAAATGTGTCACTCGTTATATAGCTGTTAGAATCTTCACTAGGTTCTGGTTCAGGTAGAATTGTTCTTTTTCTCTTTTTTGAACTATTGAGTCTTTTTTTATTCATTAGCCTATTTGAAACATCTTTTTTAGCCTTTATATTTTCAATTCCTTTCTTTTCTGGTGTATTGGTCAAAATTGTGGATCTTACTTTTTGTCTTCCTTTTCGTGTTTCTTTAAAAGGTTCGGCTTTTGGGTAAGGGCGTATTATACCTGGCAATATAAAAGTTGGCAATTCTCTGTGTATATTTTTGGAACCTGAAGCAGTCGGCTGAATAACAGACACCTGATCAATTTTGGTGGGTGATTTTCCAGTAAGTGGCGATCAGAATAGAATGCGGGCATAAAATCAGCATCTATGTAGATGTTTTCATTTATAAGATGGAAACCAGTTGAACTAAAATCTTTACAAGTATTGTTAGGTGTGAAGGCAAGAGGAAAAGCTTTTCCCACCAAGCCAGCAATATAATATATAGTTAATGGTTTTACCCCACGACCTGGAGACATTAGTAACACATTAGCCGCTGTATTAAAATAAGTCTTGAAAGGCCCAAAATCTGTCTTGTCTAATGGTTGCATATGATTACTAGTATGTGGATGTAGAGTAATAAGCTTTACACCATTATCTTTGGCTTTTTGTATTGCGAGTACCGAAATATGACTTTCATGGTTGTCCATTATGAGAATGACAGGCTGTTCTATGGTAGGCTTTGCATATTTGATAAAATGCTAGTGGAATTTCACAAATATGGACTCGTTTGACCAACCGGATGGATTGGTAATTCCAATACTGCCTTCAGGAGCACCAGTTATCATAAATCTTTAAAGTTTACACGAGGGAATATCAGCATGGCTGGAATAAAACCACCGCCTGCATTAATAGCTGCTATCATTGTAACCGTCGTTCCTCTTTCAGTGCTAATCATTGACCCAACTTGCTTCATTCCAAGAGGTGCTAGTATCTTTGGAGGAACACGGACAGTGGACAATCCAGTTTCGTCTAAATTCCAAATATCAGTGGCTTTTATGTCAGATGGACATTGAGACAGAACTTTCTTAAAATTTTCATATGTTAAACTCACAGTATGTTTGTTAAACGCCGAAGAGCGAGCCAAACTAGTAGCTTCAGGCTTTCTTAAAGACAATTTCCTTTGGTATCGCTTCCTAAATAATCGCAGCCAATAATCTCCAGCCATTTTGTTTGTATCCCAGCTCTTAGGGTACTTTTCTCCATTCACTTTTGCAAATTGGTAAGCAAGTATTTTCACGTTTTTTAGAGTCAATCCAAATTGCAAGTGTGCTGCGTCTTTAATATAGTCCACCAAACTTTGCTCTGCGGTGTGATCAAAAACTTGATTAACTGCAAGGTTTTCATGTAACTTGCTTACATCTTTACCAATTTCCAAACAGTGCTTTAAATGATGACGCAAAGTTGTTCTTGGTAATCCAAAATGTTTGGAAGCACCGAAAGTGGTGAATTTTTTATCCTTAATCATTTTAATGGCATTTGTCAGATCATTCACATTAATTGGTGTCCTTTTCTTCAGTTCTTTACTTCTAGGCCTGATTTCTGAAATACTAGATAAAAAAAATAAAGATATTTAATTAGGAATATATTACACTAGACATATATAATGTCGAAAACAGCAACTTTAAAACAACAACAAATTTAATTTTTAAAAATAAAATTTACTTTTTTTTACCTAATATTTAGATTTACAAATATTTGTTTATCTTATTTTATAATGAATATGTTTGACGTAAATAAACATACACTAAATACGTTAAACCAAGAAACGTGGAGGGAAAAAAAAATGTCACAAAGAATAACTCATTTAACAATTGTCTATTTAAAGGTCCTATACTCCAGGAAGATAACAAAATAATATTTATACAAAATAATATTTAAAATAATATTTAAACAACAAAATAATATTTAAACAGCTGACCACAAAATAAATTTACAATAACATCCATCATCAATCCTGGTTTTTAAAATAAAACTTCACTGTAACTTTAAACAGTTGTATAAAAATTTTTTATAAAAATTATTTTTATAACTTTATTTAATTAATTTTTTTTTTTTTTTTTTTTTTTTAATTTTTTTATTTTTTTATTTAATATATTTAGCTCGTTTAAATGCTAGTTAAAATCACAATAAAAATCACAATTAAAAGAGTTCAGATTCTGCGAAACTACTATTTACAAACATCCATTTTTTTTTATTCGTTTCACAACTAACTTCTTGAATGCCTTCTTGCAAACGATTGACTTTTGACCACTTTTCTTGTTTTGAATTTTGAATTGATACTTTGCTGCATTTCTTGTGCAATAATTATGCATTTCACTGTTTTTTTTGCAAAATTCTTGGAAGGCATCCATTTTCTGTAATTGAATTGTATTGTGTATAAATGTCAATACTTTCACTTGAATATTTTCTTTTACAGATAGCCAGTCTAATCGAATAAACATGTCTTTGCTATGTGTGAACCAGTCACATTTCAAGATCGTTCTCATAGCTTTGTTTTGTAACTTTTGAAGTATTTTTATATCATTTATACTTGCACCTAAGAATAATGAAGCACAATATTGGAAATGAGGTGCAATAATTGTATTAAAAATTAACGTTTTTGTCCACCTAGTCAGATATTTAGCGACTCTGGTAAAATACCCAGTTATCTTAGCAATTTTATCTGCAATATATTTAATGTGTTCAGAAAATTTCAACATATTATCAATTTTAATACCCAGGTATTTGACACATTCACTAAATTTAACTCTTTCATTTTCCAAAATGATATATATGTTAGGATATTTTACCGTGATATTCATGTATTTCACTTTGGAGCTTGTAATCAGCATACCCATCGACTTACTTGCATTCAGTTTTAGTCCATTTCCACTAAACCAGGTAGCAACTACTTCCAAGTCAAAATTTAATTTCATCATAGTTTCTTCGTAATTATTATCTTCAATGTAAACTAATGTGTCATCTGCAAAGAGGTTGATGTTTACATATCTGGTACAACTGTTAATATCATTTATGTATATTATGAATAACAGGGGTCCTAGTACTGACCCCTGAGGCACACCAACGTCACAGAGTAGTTCCGATGATAACTGATGGCCAATTCTTACTCTTTGAGTTCTTCCTGTTAAGTAATTTTCAATCCATTGTAGAACAACGCCTTCCACTTCATAATACTTTAATTTTTCAAACAATACTTCCCTATTGATGGTTTCAAGTGCTCTCTTTAAGTCTAACATGACTGTGATGACGAACATGTCATCATCAATTGCTGCCCTCCATTTTGAAATGAGTAATTGAACTGCTATTTTAGTGGAGTGATTTTTTCTAAATCCAAATTGATTTTCATTAAATAGCTTATTCTCTTCAAAATAAGTAGACAACTGTATATGTGCACATAATTCAAGTATTTTTTCATACACTGCTAACATATTTAGTGGTCTCATATCTTGTGGTAACTTGGGAGATGTCACTTTCGGTATGGGCACTATAGTAGATCTTTTCCAAGATATAGGTACAAAACCTGTTCTTAAAGACAAATTAATTATTTTCAGCAAATTTAAACTAATGACTGGGTAGATTTTTTTATATATTGGTACATTCATACCTTCATACATACCTTTTTTGTCTTTTAAATCAATTACTATTTTGTCTAGTTGGTTTTAAAAAATTTCTCTGAACTCATTCATTCCCTTCACATGATGAGGTATTTTTATGTGATCAGCAGCCATGTATTTATTCAACTTTGTTATTGATTTTTCAATATCGATAATACTCTGAATGAGAAATTCATTGTATTTATCAGCAATGGATTTATCACTTGAATCCTCAAACTTGACATCTTCCCAAATATCAAATTGAGCTTTATATTTAGTTTCAGTTAAAGTTTTTAAAGTCTTCTACATTGCAGCACTGTCACCTTTAAACATATCAATTTTAGTTTTATAGTAGTTGGCTTTCAATTTTCTCAATAGGTAGGCATTGATATTTCTTAATTTTTTATAAATTTTAAATTGTTTGAAGCAATTTTCTTCACCTAAACCAAATAGTTTCATTGTTTTAAATTTACTCCACTCTAGATTTACTTTTTTACTTATTGCCAATAACTTTGGATCGTTCATCCATCTATTATGGAAATCTTTATTAATATGTGTGATGGTTTTTGTTTGGACTTCCATGTTTATGGTTTCTTGAATACTATTAATGAATTGTTCAGCCATTTCATTAATATTAAGTTTCCTAAATTCCACCTCCTTTTCTTAAAGTTTAAATACCAACTCTTGATTTATTTTATTATAGTCAATTTTGTCATATAATTTAATATCTTTAGAACGAAGTTGCTTATTCTTCGCATAACAATTCTTTTTTAAATTGTATTGATACTTGGACACAACCATTTCATGATCTGAGATTTTATGCGATTAATTTTGTATAATTTCAAGTGGTAAATTACTTATAAACAGATCGATCACTGTACTTGAAGTTGGAGTAATTTTTGTAGGGATTGTATCATTATTGATTATTCTTTGACTTGATTTTCTTATTACTTCAATGAATCTTTCAGAATAAGGTGAGCTATTTAGGTTTCTAATTGGATCAATATTAAAGTTAAAGTCACCCATAACTATGATATCTTTATATTTGTACTTTTTAATTAATTGTAGTATTTAATATTATCAAGTACTACAATTATAAAAATTATATTTATAATTAAGGTAAAATAAAAGGAACTGATCTATTAGTATAAAATATTATAAACTTATACTTGAAAAAACGTTAATAAAATAAGGCAGCTTGTAAAACTTACAATAATCTATTAATTACTTTATTTTTGTATGTATGTACTATTGTACATACATATAGTATACTAACCTGTTTGTATTTTACATTAAATAATTAGAAATTTTTCAAACAGAGATATAGATCGAACAACACTCAAAAATGTAGCAAATCACAACAAAGTTACAAAATGCAAAGTCAAAAACAAAATATTATCTTTAAAAATTTTGAATTATATAGTGTAAAATACACACAGCCTGTGTGTATTTTAAATAGTAAATATTTTTCAAAAATTTCTATTATATAATTTCAATTTAGTGATATTTTCTCACTTGATACTTTTCTAGAAATTTCCGTGTCAAAAAACACCAAGGCCAGAGTACAACACCCAGTTGTACTAGGTGTTGTACTCTGTTGTAGTTGTAGTTGTATTGGCCACTGACCAAGGAACAACTGGTCGACAGTGACTGAGGTACAACACCACTGCAACTTCAACAAAACGAGGAATTTTTAATATCTTCAAAATTATTTATCTCGTAATTTTTTTATTGTTTGGACACTTGAATATAAGAACCCATAGCATGTAAAAAGTAATTGACTATTATAAAACGTTTAAAACTATCAGACTTCAAAATATATTAGAAATACTTACTTTTTTTCCGAAAAAAGGTTTTAACGTCAATTACAAAAAACACCGGCTTAATAGCGGTATGTGACGAACTTCATATTGAAGAGTCGGTTGTGATGTACCAAATATCATAGACAGTAAAATTTAATATCGTGCGATCATTTGAAACGAGCCCAGTGGCCTAATACACATAGTGCCAAGGTTCAACAGGTTCCCCTACTATGTGACTGTGCAACTGCCTTCTTGTACTGCCTGTATGTAACTGCCTGCTTACAAATACAAACGTTAAAAAATTTATTATAAAAGTTCTTAACTTCATAAGAAATGTACATAAGGAAAAACTGACAGTAGATAGTTGAAAATTATTTTTTGGAAAATCATTATCAATTGAAAAAGAAAAAACATTTTTTGGTTAGATTCCTTCCTAAAACAATTTTATGTGAAAAGTTTATTTTTATATGAAAAATATATTTGAAGAAATCGTAACTGCTGTCCATCTTTCATTGGAAGACTATGGCTTTCAATAAGGTTTTCGGTGAAAGACCCGGTTTAATCATTAACCCGACATTTATAAAATATTGCGGAATTACATAAAATACTAAAGCTAAACACATTAACTCTAAAACTAAAAAAAAAAAAACATAATATTCTTTATTATCAAATATATTTAAAAAAATCGTTTACACAATGCTTGTAACAAAATGTTTATTGCGTGATTTAAAATTTAGATAATCAAAACAACTTTAAAAAAATGATATAAAGATATTATCAAAAAATGAATTGAAATCAAAACGATAAATTAACTATAGTGATTTAATTACAACATATTATAAATATTTGACTTGAGCAATAAATGTTTTTATCTCCATAGGGTTAAGCGAGACAGACAAACGACCAACATTTGAAAGATTTTGTTTAATTGACTGAGGCGTTTTACGAGTTTTCCAGCTCCATTGTTTTTTATCTTTCCACAACTGATTAGCTGACAAATTTGCCTCGGTGAGTGAAACGATTTCAAACTCTAAGAACAGCTTATCTAAATTAATGACCACAGGCTTTGAAAGCTCTGAACTTTCACCGATTTCATAAAAATGCTCAAATCGAATTATAAGCGCTGTTTCATTTATTGTCTCTAATGTCAACATATGAACATTTGGAGGAAGAGGACGAGAAAGGCTTGTATATACAGGTACGAAAGATTGAAACCATTTATCACTTGTGTATGGATTCGCTGAAAAACTGATATAAAAAGAAAAGAATACATGTTAAATAATAAAAAAAAAATTGTAACCTAAGCTTATACATAAAAATTATTATAACCATATAAAGTTACTGTTCTCACCTCACCACAGGCTGCATCATCATCTGTAAACCTTGCTCTCTGTGAAAAGAACCAGCTTCTTCTGGTGTTGTCAACAAAACGCGGTGTTTGCCTCTTGTAACTAAACCTTTCCCAGTAACTCCAGGCTCATTCAAAGGCTCGTCAACTCCTAAAAAGTCATCTACCAACAACCGTCGATGAACCATTAACTCAATTTGTCCATCCTTGATGCTTGTGCCACCTTGCGATCGATCTGTCATTACGGTAAGCTGGACTCGCTTATCTTTTATATAAATACGACTGTTTACAGGATAATAGTTTTCAGAGATTGGTTCTGTAATATTTAGCTCCCATGTTTCCCTGAAATCCCTTTTTCTTTCTTTCATTTCTCTACCATTAGCATCGGTGAAAAATACGCCTGCAGATTGAATATCAGTGTCAAAACGGGTAATAATTTCTTTTCCAATTTTATCATTAGCTGGAATGGGACCAATGGTATGCTCAAACTCAGCATAGTCAGCACTTTTATACAAACGAATTACCTGACTAACAAATGTACCAAATGTTTGACGTATCTCTTCAACAAGAGGGCCTTTAACAAACTGAACATGTGCTTTATTAAAACTAGTGACTTTATGTGCTGTACTTTTAATCGGACGGAATATGTATGCCCCTGAGGTTTGCACGCTGTCGCTGTCACCCACACTTCCTTCATACCAAAAAAATTGCTGATCAACTTTTAATGAGAGGTCTCGATCTTTGCGAACCATTTTAACAAGGCGTCCAGTTTCTCGAGAAAACTCTAAGCGCAATTTATCATTTTCAATGAAATCATTTTGAAACTTCAAGGACGATATGTTTGAGTCTTTAGATAAAAAACTAGTAAAATTTTTATCCAACGTTTTATTAATAAAGTATGTGGAAAATCCAAAATAAGGTGCAGATGCTTCAAAAACTAAATCATAGGTTGCATTACCCCCGTGGGACTTTCGCAATATTGCTGTTTCACGAGATAAAGGAATGATCTGTGATTTGATAGGTTTTCCTTTAGAATTAAGTACCATCAGCTTGTTCATTCTAACAGGAACTCTTAGGTATGTAGTAAGAGATCTAGCAACAGGATTGTAAAGGTTCACAACAATTGAGTCTTCTGTCTCAGTTATTTCACAAATACTAATGTTTAAGTAATCGCAATACTTAAAGTCCATTGAATTTAACTTTGAATTTTTTTCATACTTGAGTTTTATTGCATGATGCATGAGACTCTAGCATAAATTATTATTATTGTTATAAACAAAAGAAATAAAGAAAAATAATATTAAATTAAACAATAAAATACATTTGGTTAATTATTTATTATAATTATTTTTTTTTATTGTTAATTTGATATAAAATATAAATAAATGTTTTTTTTATTAGCGAATTATTTGTTTTATTTTATGTGAAGTAACTGTAATAAAAAATATCTAACTAGGCATTCATTTCTGCCAATTGAAAGGCGTTTTGCATAGTCATTCTGTACATGTTGTTTCTCTGTTCCAGTGACAGCATCATGATGTTGACTAACGGTCATTTCACGCCGTAATACATCAGAACTTGGGTGGCTTTTACCGGAAGGAGCTAGTGCCTCAATTTGCTTGCAAGCCTTTAAAAAAACGTAAATTATACTTCCAATATTTATTTTTTTACATTTTTACCCGCCAGGGTCAATGGCGCCACAACAGTCAAGAACGCTTCTAATTTTTTTGTGGTTACCTTTTATTATATTTAACTCTACTACTCAAAAACATGAGAATTAAAAACGACACAGAGAAAAAAAGTGAGAAAAAAAAACGACACAGGAAGAAAATGAGTGTGATACTCTCAGGGGTGAGGTGGGTTTCAAAAACACGGGTTTTGGCAAACAAAGTCCCTTCGCAGATTAACAAATTATAATTTTTTGGTGATTTTTCAATAAATAATGTGTAGGTATGCAAAGGAAGGAAGATAGGGAGAGTTTTTAAAGGATAGAAATTGGTACAAGGAAAATGGGGTCCTAAACCAAAGAAATATACGTACTTTATGGATTTCCCATATTATATTTATTTTTTTAAAAGTCATTTTGGTCTTCTAGAGAGTATCATGGAATAGCATTTAACCGAAAAGTTCATGCCTCCTTTTTTACGTTACGTTTTACGTTTTTTATGTTGCATTTATGGCCATGTTGAGAGTTGGTAACAAAATACATAACATTATGATCGGTAAGAATGCGTTCATGTGGAACGCATTAGAACTCGTGCGTTAGTTAGAAAGGTATTGTAGTGAGTTATTTTTGTTCATATAATACTAGTTGTAAATATGTATGCTATTATAATAGATCTTTAATACAAATAAAATAAGAGTTTGTAGATATATATTTAAAATAATGAACACAACAGTTGGCGACGAAGATCAAACTATGGCGAAAATAATTAATAGTTTACCTGGAGTAGAACACTTTATTATAAATCAAAACGACACAACTAATTTAGACAAACGGTGGGAAACATGGAAGGAAGATTTTGAGTTATATCTAGTTGCAACTGGAGTCACGAAAGACGCGCAAAAAAAGACGTTACTTCTGCATCTAGCAGGGGAAGATGTAAAAGAAATCTATAAAACCCTGAAAGGAGCTGACACCGATCAATACAAAGCAATGTGTGATAAACTGGATCAATATTTCAGTCCAAGAAAGAATATAACATACGAATGTTACGTCTTTACGAGGGTCAAACAAAATGAAGGGGAAAGTACAGTGAGTTTTATTACACGATTTAAAAACCAATTGGAGTATTGTGCCTTTCCAAATGTTACAGAGGCAGTGAAAGATCAGTTCATATCATCGTGTTATTCTTTAAAATTAAAAAAAAAACTCCTTAAAGATAGAGAAATAAATCTCGAGAAATGTATTGAGATTGGTCGAAACATGGAAGTGTCAGAAAAACAGGCAAAAGAAATGTCTTATAAAAAAGCAAATGTATGCTCAGAGGAAATCGACTCAGTAGATCATTTAGAAAAACAAACCTTTTCCAGAAGAAGAAAACAAACGACAAACATTAAATAGAGACCTAGTCAAAATGATATTATAGACAAAAAAGAAAATAACTTGTTATGCTTTCGATGTGGGGAGAAGTACTTTGTTGGACACCAAAATGATTGCAAAGCCATTGGAAAAATGTGTTTCAAATGTCAAAAGAAAAATCATTTAGCTATTTGCTGCTGAAATACTCTACAACCGTTGTATAGGAGAAACCGACAAGTTAATGAAATAAATAATAAAGCTAAAAGTGAACACAGCTCAGAAAATGAATCAGAAGAACCACTTGCCCTGACATGTAGTTCAACACGGAAAAGACAATCTAATAAAAAAAAAAATGTAATAGTGGAAAATGTCACGATTAAAATGATTATTGACTCAGGTTCCAGTGTGAACTTAAATGATAAAAATACCTTTGAAAGAATTAGAAGCAACAATCCTAATTTAATAATCAAGAAATCATCAACAACCATTTTCCATATGCTTCGAAGCCTTTAAAATTACTAGGTTATTTCAAAGCTGAATTTGAAGCTAAAAACAAAATAACTACAAACAATATATATATCGTAGATAAAAATAATGTTGGAAATATAATGGAGATTGAAACTGCTAAGGAGTTGAATATTTTAAAAATTGCAGAAAGTGTTAAGTTTGTGAATAATAAAGACAATTATATGAGTTCAGTGGATAATAAGTCAGATGAAGCTGTACAGCATTCTAACGTGTGTAAAAACATTGATGATAAAATCAAACTTCCAACGAATCAAATTCAGCATATACTCAGCTAGAGTTGGATATTGAATCAAGAAAAATTACAAATTTTCAAACGGATGAGGGAGTCTACCGACACAAAAGATTAGTTACAATTCGTTCGAAATTTTTCAAAAAACTATGGAGCAAAGCTATGGTAGAATAGAGG